TTTCTACAACTTTCAAAAAAACCTGTCATTTTCTGACGGATTTCGAAACGCGAAGTACTAGATTTTTAATCGGTTAATTAATAAGCAAGGTTGCTCTTGACAACGTGCGCGAAATCGTCAACAGTGAAAAAAAGTATTTCGCGCACGGGACAAAGTTGAACATAAACAGCAATTTAATTAACAATCGGTTCAGTTGTAGAAAAAATATTGTATATAACGCTAGCGCGAAGTTATTTCGCGCATTTGACTGATATTTTAACTCGGCTTCGCCTCGTCAAAATACCTTCAGTCTCAATGCGCGAAATTGAACTTCGCGCACTTGTTATATAAATTACCTTTAATGAAATTCGATTGGTATGAATCAAACAAAAAAGCACCTTGATTAACTAACCAAAATGAAGTATTTGGTCAAAATTGGTGCTGGCAACGTTGTACGAAAATTATATTATTTTTTACAAACCCTACATTAGTGAAAGAGAGCTTTTTTCTACTCATATCTAATAGTCGATATATTAAACGCTTTAACATTGTAAGCGTATGTGTTAATTACGTTATTGGATGACAGCAGTGAGTAATCATTACTCACGGGGCGTTCCTTAAAAAGTTCACCGCTGACAACCAATTAGAAATTAGTATTCAAACAGAACTTTTTTATCCTTGTCATTTATCTACTAGGGTATCCCCTTGTAATTCAGATACTAAACTTGTCCAATGTTATACTAAAACATGTACTTCTTTCTAAATGCACAATTTCCTTAAAACAGAATAGTTTTCACTCAAACGTAGTGATGTAGTTGAAGGTCTGTTGTAGGACTATAATATGACGATAAGTATTGAAGCACAGATACAAATATTTTTTTTTAAATAGCTTAGGACCTACAAAACAGTGTGAAATATAATCATACGGGTGGAATATTTATGATGCCGTTTTTAAACAGTCTATCTAGTAAGTTTTCGCTTTACAGGCGATGTAAATTTCAGTGAAATGTCATGATTTAGTCACGAAATGCACTGGTAAAGTTTACAATTAAAACTGAACAATTAGATACATCGGCGGCTAAAACGGTGTTAGAAATTGAAGCAATTGCTGTTATCTTCTACTTCCAAATCCTAAAAGGAGAGACAAGATCCTGAAGCTACATTTTTTTTAGTAATGAAGCACCTAGTTGAGTTCGTTCATGTACCGGGTGCTCTTTAAAGTTGGTAGCTGGTAGCATTAACGCTGATCAAATTCGTGTACGAAAACGTGTTTCATTAGAACACCTCTTCGTTAAGAAAGCTTAACTGCGCCAAAACTATCGAATATGCACTTGAATGTACATAGTATAAGAGCATAAGGGTATAAGAGCACCCAAACTATGTTTTTTTAAAAGTTCGATGTACAGGATGGTTCAAATTCGTGGGCCACCATTAGGATCTCCGCAACGGTGAGAGATACAGTGTAGGTTATATGGAGCCAAGTTGCCCCCTTTTAGTGACTAAAATCGCTTTTGAAATTGCTGAAAAATTTATTTATTTATTTGTTTATTTATTTATTTATTTATTTATTTATTTATTTATTTATTTATTTATTTATTTATTTATTTATTTATTTATTTATTTATTTATTTTTATTTATCTATTTATTTATTTATTTATTTATTTATTTATTTATTTATTTATTTATTTATTTATTTATTTATTTATTTATTTATTTATTATCTCTCTTGTTCAGGGCCCTCAACAGGCTTGCGCCCAATTACAGAGTGACCCCGCATAATGCTTTTTAGAGGTGCCCCTGCAGAAGGTCTTAAGTTGTCCTATACTACTCCAGTAATCTTTTAAGTTTTTGAAAATATCAGATATTACCGGACTACTGAAAAACTGGGGAATCTGAATCTTTTATTGCAATTTCCATAGCACGCTAGATGTTGAAGTTACTGGCTACCACTTTCTCATTTCTTATGGGCGCCATATTGGATTTTTAGGGAATGAGATACAGAACAAAAAAACAAAAACAATGACATGTCATACTCAACGAAACGTCCACGGGTAACTAGATCGTGCTTTTTGAAATGACATTTTTCGGATTCCCTCAAAAATTCAGTAAAAAAATAAAGAAGCCTAGGATTTTGAAATGTTTACTTAGTTTTTCATTCTGAACAACTTTTCTTAATAACATCTCGTCCCCTTAATTGTATGTAAAAACCGTTTTTGGAACATTTCAAAGGCAAACTTAATCTTTCGAAACTCAAATTATGTCACAAATTAGTTTCCATCCAAGCAGGGCTGATCCCTAGAAGGTGAAAATGCAATTGAAAATTTGTTGTACTTTACAAGGGCGGAGGGGGGAGGGGTACAGTATATATTATTGAGGTACATTGAATCTTGAAGAGGTACATTAATAAGTTTGAGATTTACACCAAACCACGAAAGGGCATCTCTGGCGGTGAACAAAAGAGAGGAAGTAATTTTGCGGTGCTCGTGTTAATTTGACCGTGATATTTCGGAACCGGATCTTTCGAGTTTTGGTACATTGAAATCAGAAATCTATTTTATTTTTATTTTTTTATTTTATTGTCTTTATTTTATAGAGAGCGGACTGTTAGCTATAATCTACTGTCCCCCTTAACCCACTACACAATCACAAAGACAGCCACATGCTCTATCTGGGATTAGAACCCATGACCCTTGTAGACAACGTTAGAGCTACTAACGTAAACTCATCTGAGCTATGCAGATCGGTTTCAAGCCGAATTGTTCGCGGTCAAGTTCATGGGCCCTCATCATCTTGTTGAAAGCAGGATTTAGTTAAAAACAAACGTTAGTTGCTAATCTGGCGTTTATCTTAACAAAATAAATGTATACACTAACTTAATAAATAAATAACTAAGACTATCTATGTACTTAATCCTTTTCACTTTTTGTGTGTCGCAGGTGTTCATTAAACATGGTGTATCCCAAACCTAAGGTAAGCGTTCCAACCGCAAGACCCTGTGCAGCCACTCGCATTTTCATTAGGAATATGCTGGGACTCATTTTACCCCTACGTTTAAACATGTAAGCCCCGTACACACAAGTTGCCGCGCACACTCCAATAGCTGCAACGAAAATCTCACTTTTAATTGACCACAAATGACCAACACTTACCGATTGGAAAAAACGGGGTTTCTTTGCTTTTCCTGGCTAAACGCTCAGACTGCGACTCGTTTTCATAAAAATGACCTAAAATATGTAAAATGAAATAAAAGTGCTTCGATACGTTTAGGTTTATTCACTACTCACTCGTAGACATGACGAAATATGTTTGGTTAAGTCGGTGATTGCAACTGAGTTAAATTTAAAACGTTCAAGGTAGACATTCAAGTAGGACTGTAATTGGGATCCCCAATTACGTCAATGTCAATGTGACCTCGCTGTGTGTGATTACCCGCTTAATTTCTCTCGTCTAGCAACAGTATCGCAAATTATTTGAGGATTGTCTTACGTCACGAATTGTTTTAATTTTAATCACCTGCTATCTCTGTCCGAGTCGGAATTACATAACATTTTTTTTTGTTTCTCATTAAATTGAAACGAACCATTTTCGGAAAAGTTTTTAATCTGCTCCTCTGTTTTGTTTTTTTAAATTCTTAAATGGTGTCGAATCACCACGAGTGTATTTCTAATATTTAACACATATCTTTTAATTTGTAATGGTTTAATTAATACCATTCTAGTTTGGTCCCAGTTTCTAACGTAACCCACCTACGCATGCGGAAACTTATGCTCTCACTTTTTTGTCCTAGGTCAGTTCCTAGATGTTGCATGGCCATTTGGTTTTGGCTTCTACGCTTTAAGCATGCAAATTTTAAAAATTGAATACGACAAACGATGTCTATTATACTATACCTACTGCCGTTAGAATAACGTTGAAATCGTTTGATGCACCAATTTGGTTGCTACATACGAATTTCCAATGCGTGATATACCCAAGAGATTGCTTACCGGTAGGTATACTTTTTTGGTCTCAACTCCCACGGAAGCAGACTACACTAAACATCACTTCTGTAGACGTCCGAATGCATTCGAGTGTTCCTATACTAGCGGATATGGCTATAGCGCATGTTCTTGATATCAATAGTGCGTCCATACAGTTCTGCATATCTATAACGGCTTTAACCACGAAAGATGCCATTGTATCCACGCGAAATTTTTTTCATATATAAATCCCGGAAAAAATAACGCAACTCTTTTTAATTTTTAGGCTTGTGTTCCCATTTCCTGCGTCTTTATTTATTTTACTTACGATTATACGACCTTTTTTGTTCATTGTTAGTTTTTCTTCCAGAAAAATATGCTTTTGTTAAATTTGATTGATATTGACATTTTGTTTTTTGTTTTTTTATTAAAACATTTTTTCTGTTGCGTTTTTATTTGCATTCAAAAAATGATATAATATGTAACAAGAAAAAATAGCAACAAAAAAACAACTATTTTTTGGGTGTAACATTATAAAAATTAAATCAACTCTCTATATAAAAAATCACCGCCACACTGTGTACAATAAAAAAAATTGCCGGGGCTAGCACAGATACCACCCCCACAACCGTCCTTTTAAGTCGAAGTAATATTATATGGCATCCTTGTTGTAAGTATACGTGTGCTAAATTTAGTTCCAGTCGTTTAGCCGGAAATGTAAGTTTGACACACTTTAGTTAGCCACATATGTTTCTAGTAAAGACAAGCGTATCTCATATTGTAAAAATCAGATGTGCGCATGCGTACACTGCGCAATATATTATGTATAGAAATATTGTTTTGTAATTTTAACCAAAGATCCTTCTAGTAAAGGCAAACATATCGCATGTCCTTATTTATAAAAATATTTATGCCATAACTTACTGTCCTTTGTACACATAAATGGTTCGTTACATGACCTTTCGGGAAATACTGATCAATTCCTGGAAAATGTGCTAAAGTTACTCGCCTTATGGCGATAACTTTTTTTCATTTTTCTACATGTAATAGACTTAATTCAGAAAAACAGCACCTCAACTGGATTTGTCAAAGGATGTTGAAACCTTCTAGCTCTTCTACGTAAACGACAGCGACAATATAACGGTCACTTGTTCCTTTCGTTCTATTTTGGAATGTCTATATGCCACGTCTAGCTCTCTCTTCACCTCAAAACTGCTGGGCAAAAGAAGATAATAAAACACAATATTCGTTTATTTGTTTACAAAACGTTCGCTTTTCCTCATGAAATGTACCCGCTTAAAGAAAAATGTATTGTAGGAAATAAATAACTGAAGCAAGCAACTAAAAATCAATATCAAGGGCAACACTCGAATCGTTCAACAAGAAAGTCGATTGAACATATTACAACATTTATTTAAATTAAATCAAAATAACATAATAAGTTATGATTACAACTATAGACACCAAAAAAAAACGACTGTACTTATTGTACCATTTAGAGATGGGTCGAGGATTCTAAAAAATCGCTCGAGCGACGAGCACTCTAATTTTCTCAAAAATGCTCGGGAGCATCGAGTTTTTGCAAAACAAAACCGCTTGCGAGTCCCGAGCACTCCTAAAAGTACTCGAGCGGTTTATCATGAGCGCTCGGGAAAAGTGCTCGTGAGCGGAAAAGGCGCTCGGGAGCGTAAAAAACCGCTCGAAAACGCTCGCGAGCGGCGCTTACTCCTTCAGCGCTTAAGGGCGGTTAAAAGCGTTCATGAGTGAAAAAAACGCCCAGGAATGGAAAAAGCGCGCTCGGGAGCGGAGAAAACCGCTCGTGGGCAGAAAGAAGCGCTCGAGTGCCGAGCATGTTAAGTAAACGCTCGAGTATCGAGCACCAAGCGGCCACTCTGAAAAGTGCACTCGAGCGCATCGCTCTTAGCTTTTTCCGCTTGGAGCGCATTTTCGAGGGAAACGCTCGCGAGCAGTACCCAGCTCTGGCACCATTTAAATAAAACCAAGGTCAATGAATCGATACTATTTACGCCATCTGTATATTCAATCTGTAAATTCGCTGCAGTTGGTACCGAGTTCGCTTCGTAGTTCCTTATTCTACCATTAGAGGTCAGGCAATATATCTTTCTTTTACAGTGACTAATTATCAGTGTCGTAATAGTAATTTGTCTTTTTCACACGTAGATAACTCTACAACATATATTGCAAAACTAATAAATAAACGATGCAACTAATAAATAAACACGACTTAAAGAAACAACCAAGAATACATGACTTTACAATGATTGTCATGACATGACATGTCATGACATAAGTAAATAGTTTCAAAGTTTGCCTCAAAATGGCTACCGCGTACCAACCAATCAAAAATGAGACACCTATTGTCACCACTGTGTATAGGAGTCACTGTACAGTCGTGGTCAGAAGTAATGTCCTCCCTTAGAAACTGCAACTGTAGAAAAAGTACCAATGTGTCAGCTTCTCCGTGATTTAGTTCAATTTCATTTCAATCTTAGACATTTTCCTCATGTTGAAAAGAAGCTCAAATCTCACAGGAGATCCGGTATATTAATTATGTGCTACACTTGAGATAATCGAGGGACATTACTTCTGACCAAAACCGTACCTACTCTCTTTTACAGTGACTCTATACAAGACAGTCGCGACAGTTGAACACCTCCGCCATGTTGTGACAAATTACAACATAGAAACCTTGATTATACGGTGTGTATAATTAATTAATGATAGACGGTACAGTGATAATGAATTATAAGAAATTACAACTTTAATACTTCAATGATTGAAGTAATTCAGCAACGCTAAACATTGTAGTGACACAAAACTGCGCTTGTTGAGCATTTTATTTTAGCTACTATGGGGAACTAATTAAAGTGCTTAATGCAGGCCCAATTGCGCTCGCATACAGGAGGTGGAATCTACACACGGGAAATCTCATTAGGTCCGGACACCGGAAGGGTTGACAGATTGAGAGCTCTTGCTTAATTCGGTGGGTGGTGGTGCATAGTTGTTCTTGTTGGTGGAGCGATTTGTCTGGTTAATTCCGATAACGAACGAGACCTGTCCTGCAAGAATACACGGAGGCGGATGGTTCGCGCGTAGTCGTCGCGGTCGTACCTGCCCTTTATATACACACCGCTCGTCGGAACTCGAACGATTTAGCAAGGTCTTTTGGACCCACAGTCATTGGCCTACCGTCAACGGACGCGTGGCAAATTCGACCGAACTTGGTCGTTTAGAGTCGTGTTTTTCAACCCCCTCTAACTTCGCGATCGCTGCCCGAAAACGCTTTTCCTCGAACTAGTTCCTCAAAGTAGGCGAAATAAGGGAATGGGATATCAAATAAAATCGCAAATCTACCAATTCCTGCAACAAAAGACAAGAATACACGTAAGAAGAGGTGCTCCGGGATGAGGCGTGTCGAAAAAGCTCGCTCGGCCCGTTATAAGTGGTTCATCCACCTGCAAACATTTTCGCACCAAGAGTAACGGATATTCTTCAGTCAATCTCCTTCAGCCTTCTCCAAAGTCCAAACAAAAAAACTTTGTCACATTCCGAATTCCGAGTTTATTCACATCTAATTAGACGTCCGTCAAACAAAACAAAAAACCTATCGCCATTAATCAGCTCTCTCATCATTTGAACCTTACGATGCAGACTTATCAATCGACCCTCGTACATATAATCGTAGATAAATATTTGTACGTGTTCATAACGTCTATTTTTAATGTTAACAAAGGTTAAATAGGGTGATTTAACTTTAGTTACGTTACAGACGTCGGAATCTATTCAGGATATGCGTTTGATGGCTTCATACGACATTGTTAACAACTCAATACATGAAGATGAGGCCACTGTTACTAAAAGGCAACATTTTGATGAAAGTCACAAAAGTTTCCGGTGTATTACAAGTAGAGAATATGACAGAAAAAGGAAACTTCGAAAGGGCGACCCCTGTTACATCTCACTCCCCTATCTTACCCCTATCTTACGTTTGTTGGTATTGTTTTTGGGGTCGCTAGTTCTCAGTGTCCTAATTAGTATGCATACATAAATAGTTGGTTTAGTAGAGGTAAAAGCTAGAAAGCAAAACAGAGTGCATTTCAGACTAACTTATTCAAAATCAATACCGCGACTCATCTGTACCTACTCTTTTAGTTTAATGAGTTTAATTTTGTTAAAAGACTGTAGGTTTGGCCGCAGTAATTGATTTAATTGGTGCTCTATGTACTTTACTTCCATGTTTGACTTCTGTCTTACAGTAAAATATGAAATTGAATTTTAATAACATTATTTTGTTTGATAAGTAAATTACACTGTAATTTCCTTATTTCCGGGATTTCCCAAAATCATTACCTTAAACCTACAATTAATTGTATTAGTAAATTAGATCTATCCACGCAAATGAAACGATTTAGTGAGACTCTCAACTTTGGAACCGAATATTTAAATGCCAAAGTTACATCAC